AAGCCTCTGAGATCTTTCCCCTGACTTCAGCAGACTCGCATCCGGGGCCTCTGTTCCCCGGGGACAGCCTGTTCTGTGCTCATTGCCATGGGGTGCGGATGTCCTGATGTCCCTGTGCTGCGGACACAGCTGATGGGGACACCCAATGCCCACCACAACCACCCATCTGGGTACACCCCAAGATGCTGAAGCCAATCTCCAAGGCTGCACCGGGGCAGCACAAGGACCACATCCCCTCATGATGGGGGTTATTTACTCCCTGAGGTTACACACTCAGCGTAGCCCATGAGGTGAGCGCTGTTGCCATCACTCCTTAACTGCAGTGGTGTTGCCCCTCTGCAACAGCCCTGTCCATGCCAGGCAATGGGCAGGATCAAGGCCAAAGTGGGTACCATTTAAAAGGAAAGCAGCAAAATCCCAGCACTGATCCCTACAGGGGGAAGGTAGCAAACAAGACCCAGGATGCTCTGCAGATCCTCCCAGAAACATCCCGATTTTCATGAGCATCGCTAAGTCCAAGAAGCTCAAAATCTTGAGTCAGGACAGTTGGATGCATCTGATTCAAGAATGACTCAGACAGGAACGTGGAGGCAGGAGGAAGCAAGGGAGTGACATTTTCTGCTGTGGGCAACATCCCTTTATATTAAGCTCAAAGATACAAACCCCACAGTTTATTACTTGAGTGAAAAAAGGCACTCGCCACCCTGGATGCTCCTGCACTGATCTCAAGTCCAGAGATCATCTTCCTTATTCTCAGCCTTCACATCTATATGCTTCATTTCCATATCTTTAACAAATGTAAATCCCACTGACATCTCAGAAAGAACCTATCTCAGTAACCACATTGAGCACAACCCTGAGCCCTCAGCAAGGAAAGCTTAAGCTGCCTTCCCAAGCCATGAGCATCAATACAGCCCCAGTTCCCCCCTGGTGCCCCCCACTGGGTCAGTGGCAGAGCAGGGGCATTCAGGCAGGACCCAAGCTTGTACCTAAAGCGATGGAGATTTTTAAGGCTGCGAAAGCCCATTGCAGTCATTGAGTCCCACTTGCTGCTCAGCCCTTGGAAAACCAAAAGGGGTGCATGGGCATGAAGCATTTATGTGCACCCCTCAGAGTCCTGGGTCATGCTGAGCACAGGGGAAGAGCTGATCATGGGGCAAACTCAGATGGGAAGATCTCTACTGAAGGGTGTAATGGCTGGATGAGAAGAAGAGGAGTGACCCAGAGCTGCAAAATGGACCAGCACTGGCAAGATGTCCCAAACCTGCCTTCAGCAACTTGGCTGTTTCTGTCCCATTGGGATGTGAAAGCTCCCAACCCCTCAAGGACCACAGCCCCAGCGTGGCAGGATCTGGCTGTTGATGGCTCCACGGCCTGGACCAGAGTCTTTCCCCTTCAATAGTGCCAGTGCTGTAGGGACCCCCACAAGAGACCTGCCCCCCATGGGGTGCACAGACCTTTCTCCACACACTCTGCACTAAATCAAACCCCTCCACTTGAGCTGGATGATGAAGGCAGCGATCAGGACCGGGTCCACTCCATCTCCCTGCACCTGCCGATTAGCCAGGCTCCTCTTTACCAGCTAAACCAGTTAATCCCACCCAAAGCCACAGCCAGCAATGGAGGGCTCTGGCTGCACCTCCTCCATCTGGGCTCCGAGCATCCCAGCGAGCGGTGGCCCCATGCCAGAGGCTGGAGCCTGATTCAGCCCTGACTCAGCTTTCACCCATTTCCGCAGCAGCACAGGACACCTTCCCGTGGTTATAACTGCTCCCAGCCACCTGCATTTCCTGCCCGGTGCCGGCGGCACAACTGCTCCTTGTCCCCTCCCATCAGGTGCAGAGGTGATGAGACAGACACGGGCTCACATCTGGGACGTGGCGACTCAGTGGCACGCTATGGGAACCACAGGGGATTGAAGGCAATGCTGTCAGGAAGGGAAGCACTTGGTATAGCCTAAAGGTGCCTCTATGCAGGGTTTGGGGACAGCTCTTCTGTATGGGGACAGCGAGGGTGTGCAAGGTCTGGGCTCTTCAGCCCACCCATCTGCTATGCACAGGGCAAAATGTCCTTCAAAGAGACCCATACTGCTCACCACATGGGTGGAAGAGAGGAGTTCTGTTCTTTAGACAGGGAAAGCCCAACCAGGACCACCCTGGCCGCATCTCTGCTCCAACACCGAGCATCCATGCAAGCAGCATCCATCCCTAAGTCATCTCCCCCAGCAAAGCTCCAGCTTTTGCTTTAAAACCAAAGCATTGCACGCAAAGGAAGAGGCAGAGCCTCTGCGGCGGGTGTTAGAGGCTTTGGTGATAAGGCAGGGGATACTCCTAAGCTTGTCTCCACAAACATGAGGATTAGCCATTTACTTCTCTTGGAGACAAAATCCGGGGTTTTAACATGATCACAGGCTTGGAAAGAAAAACAAACATCGGGATACGGGGAAAAGGGAGAGAATGGGAGAGGAGTGAGCAGGAGCTCAGAGGGGCTGAAGTGCTTCTTAAATCAGAATGAGAAAAATGCATTGAAGTTGGAACTTATATCTTGGTAGCACTGAACAAACACAGAATGGGAGGACTCTCACACCAGTTTCTTATCAGTAATAACACCATTAGCATCAAAGGAAGCCTTACTAATGCCGTGGCATGAGAAAAGGCCCATTTGTTTCATGCAATAAGGCATATAATGCATTAATTACCCATTGAATTGAAAAAGGGATGTTGAAAACATGCTTGAATTGAAGCAAAAGGAGGGTTTCAGCTGAACCCATGGTGCCCAGTGGCTTTATTGTGCCTTTGGTGTAAAGCCCACAAACTGCATGCTACACAGGGGGATGCTCTCGCATCCTGCGGCATCTCCTCCTGCCGCCACCTGACCCCCTGGTACCCCAGAACCCATCCAACCCATGAGCACACAGCAACCCCCATCAGCCAAGGTTAATCTCAACCAGCCACACTAACAAATAAGCCGGTGTGAGAGGACATAATCTGCCCATGCATCCACACCCTGGCCACCGCCACAGCATAAAGGCACCAGGGAGCAATTTTGAGATCAAGCTGCTGTAGCCATTAATAATTAGCACTTCCAGACTTCAAAGGGTGATGCTGGCCTCCACAGTAAAAACTCAGCACACCCAGGGCTGGTGGGGAAGAGTTTTCCTCATCAGTGCTCCCACTTCCCCAGTGAGATTTGAAATGCAAAGGTGAGGACATGCCACAGGGGATCCATGGACGCGATGGGATTAGACACAAACCCTCCTGACTCTCATCCTTAGCACCAGACACGAAAGGATGTTATGTGAGTAAGCACCATATGTAGGCACCCGAGAGCATCCTAAAGCCATTGCTAAGCCAGTCCCCTAGCCTGACAGCTGTCACTTGGTCCCTATGATAGGGATGCTCTCATAAAACCACTGGAGCCCAAGGTGGGAGAGAAGATGCCTTCTGATACCACCAAACACAACACACAAGGTCAGGCAGTGAAATGCATGCTCAACACAACTCCGGGTGAGTATGTGCATCCCCTGTTTGGTACCCAGAGGGTTTCACACAAGCCAGATGAGTCGCTGGTGAGGTCTGATCATGGCACGATAGAGCAAACTGCTTTTGCTTTAAGAAAACTCAACCCCTCCTTTCTTTATCAGCAATTCCTAATCCTGAGCCATTCTGTCTCTTCCAGAGAAAGTAAAGACAGAAACCTCAATGGAAACAAGAGGAACTAAAGCCTGAAAACAAGAGACTCCAGATCTTCAGCTGATTATATTTCCAGCCAAATAAAACAGGTTGATTAATCCACTTGTTCAGGCTGCTAAAGCTACCAGAGCAGCAGATTACATCCCTTTCACACTGGAGGAAGCTCAACACACTTAAACTCGACATCTTCACAGCAAGGAGAAAACAATAAATACAAAAAAAAAGGCAATAATCAGTGCAACAGCCTTTGCATGTGTGGGAACATAAAGCTTTGGAAATGCAGAGAGAAGCAGCGTTCTCCAGTAAAATGGACAGAGCTCCATCCAGGGACTCCAGGGGAGTTTTTCCTGCTTAATCTACAAGTCAACTGGAGCCTTAGCTTCAAAGGCCATCAGTGTTTTCAGGTCCTAGTGAGCAAGTGGCGATCCAGTGCTACATCCAGTGAGAGCTTCAGCTGGGCACAGCCCTCCTGTCTGCCCTTTACCTCATCCCTCCTCACACTCTCCATTGACAAACCCATATATTCCCCCTACAGTAACACTTTCCTCTGGTCTATACAAGACCCCAGACAGCAACAGGGGCAGGACCAGGCCCTGAGCAGGCAGCACCAAGACCCACGTCCCCCAGGACAGAAGCAGCCCTTTGGTTCTCATCCCTTGCATGCCCATCGGGTACCACATCAGCGTGGGCTCTTCACAGCACTCAATGAGCTACAAGCGCATCTCCAGACCCAGGTAAGAACATGGGCTCCAGCGACCCCAAGTTATCATTAACACCATTCTGCTGCCAGCACACGGAGGTGGGACACCTTGATGCCCACAAACCAACTCTGCCTCCAAGACACCCACCCGGTGATGCTCGAAGCCAGCATCCTCCCTGCTGGACACTACCCCGATGCAACTGTGATGGGAAGGATGTGGCTTCACAGCGCACTGCCGTAAAGGATGCTCCGGGGCGCCGGAGCCAGCATCCACCCCGCCGCTCCCCAAAACCACCCCTAACGCCTGCAGCACCCAGTCAGGCACAGCCGAAGGCTCCCGGGCACTGCCCGCCCACCCCGCACCATCCATCCCGTGCGGGGGTCGCTGCCCCTCAACCCAGCTCCGCTCCAGGCACACGGGGCTCGGCCTCGGAAGCTCCGGGGCTGCCTCCTCCCGCCCCGCACGGGGGTCGCTGCGGCCGGGATGGGGTGGGGGGGGCCGGGGAGCCGCCGCCCGCGGCCGCGCCTTTGTCCGCCGGCGGAGCGAGCGGGCAGCCCCGTCCCGGTTCCCCTCCGGGCACGGACACGGACACGCGTGAGGCGCTCACCTGCGGGGCCGCTGCCCGCGGCCGCCTCCTCCTGTTCCTCTTCTTCCTCCTCCTCCTCCTCCTCCGCTACCGCCGCCGCCTCCATCTCCTCCTCCTCCGGCGGTGGCGGCGGAGCGGTGCCCCGGGCGGGCGCGGTGGTACCGCGGGTGCGGAGCGGCGGTGCGGCGGTGCCGGGGCTGCCCTCAGCGGGGCCGCCGCTACCGCTGCCGGGCTCGGAGGGCGGCGCGGGGCTGGAGGGCAGCCCGGCGGCGGCGGCCAGGAGGGCGGCGAGGCAGAGCAGGGCGAGCCCGGGCGCGGTGCTCGGCCGGTGCCTCATGCTGCGGCGCGGCGCTCCGCCATGCACTCATTCATTCACCCAGGGGCTGCCTCCTGCACCCAGCGGGGCCGGGGAGCGCCGGCTCCCTCCCTGCCGCCCGCCCGCCCGCCTCACCCGGCCATGCTGCCCCTCAGGCGGCACCCGCCTCGCCTCGCCTCGCCCCGGCCCGGCTGACAGCGCCGCGCCCGCTGAGCCCCGCCCCTCGCCCGCCACAGCCAATCAGAACGGCGCCCGCCCCACCTGACGGCAACTTTGTACCTCTTTGTGCGCGGCGGGACCAATCAGCGGCCGGAGGAGGCGGAGCTAAGCGGGGAGCGGGGCGGGCTCGGGCATTGTGAGGGTGGCGAGGGGGGGGCGGCACCCACCGGAGCTGGTGCCAGGCCGGGGAGCGGGCAGGGACCGCCCCGAGCACCCCAGTTCCTGTGTGTGTGCGGGTGTTCCCTCTTCTTAATGTAATCTTTAATTAGTCATGGGTTTGATTATTTATAATATTTTTTAGTTTAAAAATTAAACCACCCCCCCACCAATCTTCTCCCCCCCCCCCGTTTTGCAAATCCGCGGCGCCGCGCCGGGAGCCCGTTGCGGCGGGTCCATGCCGATGGAGTGATGCTCGCAGCGCTCCAGGTCCCTGGAGGGGACCAGAGGCTGGGGGTACCCCCCTAAAGCTCAGCGCGACCCCGCAGGCAGCCACCTCCATCCCCTGCCCACCTCCACACCTCCATGACCCGCTCCCCTTCGTGCTCTCCATCCGGCTGGAGCTGATTCCCACCCATCCATAGGGACAATGAAAGCTGGGGGAGCATCCCGGCTGGTCCTGCTGGGCATGGGCACAGGGAGTGACCGCGGCCAAATCCCCCCCCCATCCCGGCTGGGCAGCACAGTGACAAATACATCAGTTCTTCATGGTACCCACCTGGGTGATGGCTGGTTCATGTGCGTTGGAGGAGGATGCAGGCAGCATGGTAAACACTACTCTGATCAACACAAAGGCACGTGGCTACATGCTGAGGTGTGCCGAGCATCACGGAGCCCTACGGGCAGCTGCCATCCCCATGCATCCCGCTGTGGGATGGTGCAGGGCAGGATGGTGCAGGGCACTGTGGGCATGGTGGCTCTGCGCTGCCCGTCCCTGCCCAGAGGTGTGTGTGGCAATGAGCGTCTGCATCACCTCTCATTGACATCATCTGCTGACAAGTGTCTCTTCAGCATTAGACAGTCCCACCATCACCCACTGCATGGTCTGGGCTGCGAGTCCTTCTCTAGCACAATATTTAGGGGTTGCCTGCAAGGGCATAGCTGCTGTGGGCTGATTAATCTGCAGTAACTCACTGCTCTTCCCACACACCCATCCCCTTCTCAGAAATAAACGGGACTTTATTCCTGCATAAGAATACATTTATTATTCCCCAGCAGTTAAGCTGTGCCATTTCCCCCATGGAGACAAATCCTTCCGAGATCTGCTTTTCATGATCATTGTCAGCCTGTCGCTTCCCATGGGGAGTGAAGAATCCCTCTGATCGGGGGAATCCAGCTGGCACAGAGGGAAGATGGTTTGCCGATCAAGCCTCTCCTCCAGCGATTCACACGAGGTTATTGTCTATGGGAACGGGAAGGGAGAAGCCAAGCAGGGGAATGATTGTTAAGGGAAGAGTTGCCTGGAGCAGAGAGATTCCTTAGTTTTAAATGGAAGCTACACAGCCCCAGCAGCCAAAGGATGGACCCTCCTCCATCCATCCTCCACCTCCAGCCACCCCTTGGATGGGGTATCACATGCAAAACCAGAGCCTCCTTCTGCCCAGCTCGGTGATTTCAGTGCTGCCTTATCATGAGGATCATTATAAAGAGCTGCAAAACTGAAACTGTTTCTGCTGTGTAGGTGGTCACACAGCCCGGAGCCTTCACGGTAACTCCACATCCTGGTGGCGACAGGGGTGGAAACCCCAAGGTGAATTCTAACACTGATGGAAGCCACCACCAGCCCCCAGAGCTGTGGGAAAGGCTGTGGAATGGCCATGGAAGATGCTGGAGGAACGGGCTGGAGGATGCGGGCACTTCCCAGGCCCTGCACAGGGACGGCTTCAGCAGGACTCACCGCTCCCCCTGTTGATGTCAAGTAGAGATGCAAGAGCTCCTCGTCCCCGGCCCCAAACCATCCCCGGCTGCACCCCAGATAAAGAAGCTCCCAAAAAGCCTTTGGCTGCTTTCAGGGACATTCATTTGGGGATGCCAAGGGCACAGAGCAGACCTGGGCTGGCACCGTGCCACCAAAAGGTTCGTTCTTCCTTTCTGTTTGTGCTTTCGTTCTGCAATGAGAAGGTGAGAAACGCACGTCTGAGCGGGACGGATCCCTGGGGAAGGACTGATGCAAAGCCCAGGTTGTGAGCAGGCAGCCCAGCCTCATGCCTGCTTTTTGCATAGGTTTTAAAGGTACCGACATCCCCACATGCTGAATTGTTCCCATTCCATCGCATCAGCAAGATTTTCCTCCCCAGTGGAAAGTTGCCATCCGATATTTAGCAGCCAGCTCTTTCTCTGACCTATTTGCAAACCCCAAGCCGCTCTCTCCAACCACCCACTGCTTGAAAGCTTTGATAATTCAATGAGATGTTAATTCCGACACCCAGCATAAGTCACCATAGGAAAATTTAGGGGGTTTTAATTATCATTAATGCAGGAGTAATGAATCTGCTCCACAGATTTCATTTTCAAAGCGCCCAGCAGCAACTCCCATTAAGTCAACCTGTATTAGGTGGCTGCTGACATCCCCATGTGCTCTGGGGTAGGCAGAGCCTGGAAATGATGGGGATGCACAAATCTGCCTCAGGGGACGAGGAGCAAAGGTACAGCACAGCCTGGCCAGTGCATGTAGGTGCTCACATACAGCTGCTTAAAAGCACGCTGCAAAAGGGCACTGTCGGTTTTAAGCACATCAGGATCACCTTTTAGGACACAATTGTGCTCTAAATGCGAGTCTGAGCTGCACACGATGCTGGGAACTTCATTTCAGAGCCTGACCCAATGGGTCTTTGCAGGACTTGCCCCTGAGGAATGTGCCCTCCATTCCCTTTGTAGAGCCCTGTCAAGTGCTGCCCTGATTTAAGGGCGATCAAGATATTCTTTAGGCATCACTTGAAACTCCTCAGTGACTGTTTTCATTATTCCACATGCATATTTATAATTCATTTAAATCATCAAATAAAGAGCGTTTGAGAGTCAAGATCCCCAGGAGCACCTCTACAGACCCAGGCATGAGGTGCAGGAACTGACTTAAAACACAAGCGTGAAGCAGAAGTAATGGCTTTATTTTCGTTGCCGGAACCAGGTAAGCAGCAACGTGTGTTGGGGTGCAAATAATTCTCCTAAATCTTCCTGTTTTCACGACCAGGCCAATGTTGGCAACATGAAGACAGCATTTAGAGTACAGAGCTCTGCATTTCCATCTTTCTCCATGTATTTTAAGCATAAAGCACCTTCTATGTGGTTGCTCTGAAGCAGCAGCCTTGCCTTAGCTGGAGCGCACGCATTGCCTACATTTATCCTCTGATTTGAATATAAATGAAAGCAAGTGAATTAAAAATGGAGCCTGGAGACTCATCTCTGTGCAGGCATATGCATGGCTGCCGGTGGTGGGGCTTGGTGGGCGCAGCCAGGACCCCACCATGATGGGCAGGAAGAGCATCCGCAGCATCCCCGAGCCTCTGCGAGGTGACAAACTCCTCTTTCCTTGGGGTCCAGTTGCTTCGCACTCTGTGCTCTTGGGGAATTTACCCTTGTATGTGCCTCTGAAACACTGACATTGCTTTAAAAGTGCCTTTGGCTGACTGATCTGGTCATGGGCCATCATAGCCCCATCACTGCAGTCCTGAGCATCCCTCCCTCCTGCTTCCTGCAAACCCTCTTAGGAAGGGAATGGGGATCCCTTAGCCCCAGCCATGAGCCCCCGGCAGCCTCCATGGGCTCACACACCTGTATGATTTGCAGATAGCAACCACAGTGATGGAATAGCAACATCCAGCATCTTTCTTGCAACTTCCAGACAGCAGCAAAAGTCACATCCTTTGCCAATGGGGCTGCAACACACTTTGTGCCACAGCTACCACCACTCCTACCACGAGCATAAACACACCCAGTGTTAGCACAGGTCTGTCATCACTGCAAATAAATGCAATCAGCAGCCAAACCTCCCTGTTAAGCGGGGGGGGGGAATGTAGGAAGCAGGGAGCAGGACACGGTGGTGGTATACGCACCGATAATAGGCCCCAGTTCTGCAAACGCTTAAAGAGCGGCTCAACTTTAAGCACGTCAAGGTCATACAAATATAAAACTAAGCTCTTCTCTGAGTCAAAAAGGTCCTACAAATGTGAAAGTCTGAATAAATTGCCTAGTGCATTTGTTATTATTGCCTGTCCCAGAGGTTGGACCAAAAGGGCTGAGTAGGAAAGGGACATGCTCCATGCTGCTGACTCAGATCGTTCAGAGACTACAATTTCTTCTTCCATGGGCTATTGTGGCACTTTCAAATGTGTTTTCATCTCCAAATCCTATTGTCCATCCCAAACTCCTATTGATCGGGAAGGGTTGCATTTGCCCTGTTAAACAAAGGAGGGTGTTTCAGTGTAGCTCAAGTGCTGCATTGCGAGCACCCTGCTGAGTGCAGCCCAGGAGCCGGCAGCTCGCACATGTGGAGGGTTGGAATGAAATTCATCTGAGTGGTAATGTCAAAACTAAACCGAGCAATTTGTTGCAATGAAACGCTTTGGGAAAAAGATTATTCTCTGGAGGTCAAAATGAATGGCTCAGATTTTTCTCCCCGTCAATAATTTCCTACGTGTTCCCACAAAAATGGTTTGATTTCAGCAAATCTGTGCTCGCCAATAAAAATCACTGCTGCTGAAACCCTTTCTAACCTTCCCCTGACAGAAGAGCTGGAGCTGAGCTCCAGGCTCCCACATGTAGATTGTCCTTCCCACTCCCCTCTTGCACACACATATCATACATGTACACATGTGTGGCCACCCCATCCCAC